TAAAGATGGAAGGAACTTCCTATAGTTGTACAGGGTAAAGATGGAAGGAACCTCCTATAGTTGTACCGGGTAAAGATGGAAGGAACTTCCTATAGTTGTACCCGGGTAAGATGGAATGAACTTCCTATAGTTGTACAGGGTAAAGATGGAAGGACTTCCTATAGTTTACGGGTAAGATGGAAGAACCTCCTATAGTTGTACAGGGTAAAGATGGAAGACACCTCTATAGTTGTACATGGTACAGAGGAGGAACTTCCTATAGTTTGTACAGGTAAGATGGAAGGAACCTCCTATAGTTGTACAGGTAAAGATGGAAGGAACTTCCTATAGTTGTACCGGGTAAGAGGAAGGAATACCATAGTTGTACGTAAAGATGGAAGAACCTCCTATAGTTGTACAGGTGAATATGAAGTAACCTCCTATAGTTTGTACAGGGTAAAGATGGAAGAACATTCCTATAGTTTACAGGTAAGATGGAAGGAACTTCCTATAGTTGTACAGGTAAATGGAAGGACTCTATATTTTAGCCGGGTAACAATGGATGGACTTCCTATAGTTGTACCGGCTAAAGATGGAAGAACCTCCTATAGTTGTACAGGTAAAGATGGAAGGAACCTCCTATAGTTGTACAGGGTAAAGATGGAAGGAACTTCCTATAGTTGTACAGGGTTGAAGGTTGGAGTGTATATGACCAGCTATTCCAGAGAGTATGGTAGAGTACAGTGGGGGAAAAAACGTATTTAGTCAGCCACCAATTGTGCAAGTTCTCCCACTTAAAAAGATGAGAGAGGCCTGTAATATTCATCATAGGTACACGTCAACTATGACAGACAAAATGAGAAAAAAAAATCCAGAAAATCACATTGTAGGATTTTTAATGAATTTATTTGCAAATTATGGTGGAAAATAAGTATTGTGGTAGGCTACAGCAACTCCATGTCATGATAGTGGTAGGCTACAACAACTCCATGTCATGATAGTGGTAGGCTACAACAACTCCATGTCATGATAGTGGTAGGCTACAACAACTCCATGTCATGATAGTGGCAGGCTACAACAACAACTCCATGTCATGATAGTGGTAGGCTACAACAACTCCATGTCATGATAGTGGTAGGCTACAACAACTCCATGTCATGATAGTGGTAGGCTACAGCAACTCCATGTCATGATAGTGGTAGGCTACAACAACTCCATGTCATGATAGTGGTAGGCTACAACAACTCCATGTCATGATAGTGGTAGGCTACAACAACTCCATGTCATGATAGTGGTAGGCTACAACAACAACTCCATGTCATGATAGTGGTAGGCTACAGCAACTCCATGTCATGATAGTGGTAGGCTACAACAACTCCATGTCATGATAGTGGTAGGCTACAGCAACTCCATGTCATGATAGTGGTAGGCTACAACAACAACTCCATGTCATGATAGTGGTAGGCTACAACAACTCCATGTCCATGATAGTGGTAGGCTACAACAACTCCATGTCATGATAGTGGTAGGCTACAACAACAACTCCATGTCATGATAGTGGGTAGGCTACAGCAACTCCATGTCATGATAGTGGGTAGGCTACAGCAACTCCATGTCATGATAGTGGTAGGCTACCAGCAACTCCATGTCATGATAGTGGTAGGCTACAACAACTCCATGTCATGATAGTGGTAGGCTACAAAACAACTCCATGTCATGATAGTGGTAGGCTACAGCAACATAACATATCATTGTGTGCCTCCAAGCTTACTTTGACGTTATGGATATTATAACACATTTGCGCATAAAGGTGTTTCCGCCACAATCGTCACATAATCTATTTCATAGCTTTAAAAAAATATACACTTTTACGTTCCCTAAATGTCGTCGCTCAACAGAAAAGTTAACTAAAAAAGGAGTTACTTTGACAACCAAACCAAAACAGACCAGACCAAACCAAAACATACCAAAACAGACCAGACCAAAACAGACCAGACCAGAACAAGACCAAACCAGAACAGACCAGAACCGACCAAACCAAACCAGACCGAACCAAAACAGACCAGACCAAAACAGAACAGACCAGAACAGACCAACCAGACCAAACCAGAACAGACCAAAACAGACCAAAACAGACCAAAACAGACCAAAACAGACCAAAACAGACCAGAACAGACCAAAACAGACCAAAACAGACCAAAACAGACCAGAACAGACCAAACCAAAACAGAAGGGGTTTCAAACAGGTTCAGAAACCCATGGGGGTGTCCACTAAATGTTGGCAAAGCAACTAGAAAGGGTCCTAAAGACTTACCATGGTAGTCCACCATTATTTAATAATTGTTGTACATGGCATACTGTATACTACATACTTAATGAGTATATACTACATACTATATACTATTAGTTCATTTTTAGTATACTGTAAACGAACGGTATCCTTTCAGCGTACTAGCGCTTCGCCTGTCTACCGGAAGTTGATGCTGTTGCTATGCAACCTGTTGCTAGCTTGTTAGCATAACAAATTACTAACTAGACATTTTACGACTTCGGGTGTGTTATTAAATTCAATCTGGAGTGCCAGAGTGCGCTCAGAGTGCATTGTCAGATTGTTTGTAAGGCAGTGTCACTGGATGCTCTGGCCGAGGAGTAGGGTTGATCGGAGCTTTCTGACCTCACAACGGCAGTCAAGCACCCAAGCTAACTGGCTAGCTACTTCCAATACAAATGAGAGACCTCACTGACCATTTTACTCGCCCTAGCAGAGCTGGTTAGGCTGTTTTCATGTTATCCAGAGCGTTGGTGACTGTAACAGTGCTGGCAACAATTTTATTACGCCTTTTTTCCCCCCCGACTTTTACTGACACCAGCGGTATTCAACGGGGGTTGAGCGTTCTTAAATTCATCAGTTATTCTGCGCTCTGGCACACTCAGACGAGAGTGCTCTGAAATCGGAGTAGATAGCCAGAGCGAATTTACGAACGCACCCGAATGTCAATTGAGAACGCACAAGGACTATACCACTTAGCTAAGCTAAGAATGACGTGAATAATCAAGTCAATAAACGTTGGGTAGTTAGTTAGATGGCATATAGTAGCCAAGTAACGTTAGGTAACTTAGCTAGCTAACATACCGGTACACATACTGCTGTAATGCTTTGCGGTTCGTAAGGCTAGCGTAGCTAACAAATTATCAGCCAACATAACATGTAACTTATTTGAAAAGTCATTACTTTATTACATTATTCAACATTTTCTTAACATTTGTCATAATTAGTTAAAGCAATGAATTTGTATCTGCTCTCGTCGGACTTCAGCTGCATATTTTCCGCAATTTTCTTCAAATCTGAAAACGTTGTGAAGCCACGTCCATTTTCTGAAGAATTGCATTATGGTCCCGAAAAGCACGGAAATAGTGTCCTCTGCTTATATACTTCGTATTTTGGCGAATGTAGTACGACATCCGGGAACTTTTGGCATACTAACTATATCCATACTATGACCAATAAGCATACTACATACTCAATTTAAGTCACAAATAGTACTGTTAGTGTGGTTAGTATGAGTATTGGAACACAGCTCATGACTTATGTTGTTACTGTGGGTTGGAATGATTGATGTAGTGGGATAATTAGCTGTAGGTCAGCAGGTAGGGTGTGTGTGTGTGTGTGTGTATGTGTGCGTGAGTGTGCGCGTGTGTATGCGTGTGTGTGTGTGTGCATGCGTGTGCGTGCGTGTCTTACCTTGGGGTTGGGGTGTCGGCTGATGATGAGGCTGACGGGTCCGGGTCCACACTCACTCATGATGGCGTAGGCCTCACTCAGAGCCACGTGACGCAGACTCACTGAGTCCACCTCCAAGAGCTGGTCCCCTCGACTAGATGAGGAAGAGACGCATTCAAAATCAGTTAGTATTACTCAGTAAATAACCCTCAGAGCAGAAGCCTGTGATGAAGAACACGGAGACAGACAGACAGACAGACAGACAGACAGGCAGACAGAGACATTTACATTTTACATTTTAGACATTTAGCAGAAGCTCTTATCCAGAGCGACTTACAGTTAGTGAGTGCATACATAATTTTTTTTTTTTTTCTCTCTCTCTGTCTCTCTCTCTCTCTCTCTCTCTCTTTCTCTCTCTCTTTCTCTCTCTCTCTCTCTCTCTCTGTCTCTCTCTGTCTCTCTCTCTGTCTCTCTCTGTCTCTCTCTCTCTCTCTCTGTCTCTCTCTGTCTCTCTCTCTCTCTCTCCTCTCTCTCTGTCTCTCTGTCTCTCTGTCTCTCTCTCTCTCTCCCCCTCTCTCCCTCCCTCCCTCCCTCCCACAGGGACCCAAGTTCCTCTCTCTCTCTCTCTCTCTCTCCCTTCCACAATTATCTGCTGTTCTGTTCTGTTCTCCCATGGGGACCCAGTTCCTCTCTCTCTCTCTCTCTCCCTTCCTCAATTTAGGAGAACCCATGAGGCTGCACTCTACTGTGTGTGTGTGTGTGTGTGTGTGTGTGTGTGTGTGTGTGTGTGTGTGTGTGTGTGTGTGTGTGTGAGTGTGTGTGTGTGTGTGTGTGTGTCCCTGTCCGTCTGAGAGATCTTCAACTGATGTTGTTGAGAGCTGTTTGAAGTGGGCTCCGGGGCTACTTAGCCTTATTTAAATGCAACATGATTGACATCAGCAGCCATTTGCTTCCCCTCTCAGACCTTGCTAGGATTCTTAGTAGTTCATTTGCCTTATATCTTATTTCTAAAATGTGTTTATGTATTTCTTTAGATTTTAAGATGATTACTAGCTGATTGAAATCAAGGTATCCTATTAAGGGGACCCTACATGTGATGTTTCTAGTTACTAGCTGCAAATATCTACAACACATCTAGTGCAGCTCTGTAGACATTAAGAATACTATTGGTTCTTTAAGGGAAAGAGCCTAACCCCTAAAAAGCCTAACCACACTCAACATGGAATTTAAATCCTGTAAATGTGGAGATCATGACCTGATCCAAGGGCTGCATCTAGGGGAGCAGGGTTGTGACATACCTGAGTCGTCCATCCATCTTGGCGACAGAGCCGGGGGCCAGACTGTGGATGTAGATGGCTGGAGCACTGTTCTCTAGGGTTAGACAGCAGGCCCCTATTCCCAGACCCACCCCAGGCTCTGAGAGAGAAACACACACACACACACACACACACACACACACACACCACAGAAATGGAACACACACACGCGCACACACACACAGGACACAAAAAAGAATAGCACAGCAGATTAGACACAAGGGAGGAGCAAGTTTCATTTGTAGCATTTTTCAATGTCCTTCTCTCCTCATCTGGCTTCCTCATGAAGTGTAAGATATATACATTTGTATTGAAGTTACAGTTTCAGGCCAAAAGCATGGAGAGGGCATATGAAATGGAGACATCCCATTTTTCTAATGAAACCAGTGATTACTTAATCATACCAAAGCAAAGTGTGGTACCTTCCTAACGAGAGACGCGCAAATTAAAGATAAATCAAATCTAGAGAAATGACACCTCCAGGTATTGAGCAATCCTTCCTGAAGTTCATTTCCTCAAAAATGTCCTCTGCAAACAGGTTTGTACCCTGGCAGGACAGTCTCTTGTTTATAAAATGTCCTCTGCTGTGATCCAAGACTAACAGGTTTGTACCCTGGCAGGACAGTCTAACTCTGTTATGATCACAGGTGTTCAACTGGCTGGTCAACGGTTTCCATTGAAATACAGTCTCATGGTGGTCTGTCGGTGCCAGCGTGCATTACGTGTTCTGAATGCAATGCTAACACCTTAAAATTAATATGGAGTTGGTCTCCCCTTTGCCGCTATAACAGCCTCCACCCTTCTGGGAAGGCTTTCCACTAGATGTTGGAACATTGCTGGGGGGACTTGCTTCCATTCAGCCACAAGACCATTAGTGAGGTCGGGCACTGATGTTGGGCGATTAGGCCTGGCTCGCAGTCGGCGTTCCAATTCATCCCAAAGGTGTTCGATGGGGTTGAGGTCAGGGCTCTGTGCAGGCCTGTCAAGTTCTTCCACACTGATCTCAACAAACCATTTCTGTATGGTCCTCGCTTTGTGCACGGGGGCATTGTCATGCTGAAACAGGAAAGGGCCTTCACCAAACTGTTGTCACAAAGTTGGAAGCACAGAATCATCTAGAATGTCATTGTATGCTGTAGCGTTAAGATTTCCCTTCACTGGAACTAAGGGGCCTAGCCCGAACCATGAAAAACAGCCCCAGACAATTATTCCTCCTCCACCATACCATCAGACGTCACTTCCTGTTGAACGCGGAAGAGCTCGGATTTGTTGTTTTGAACAGTTTGTTGTTTCGAAAGTGTATTGGGAAGTTCTTAGTAGCTAGCTAACTTTTTAGTTTGGATCCCGCGACACAGTTCGCATCAGTTGCTGGGATTGCTAGTCTCTGGTCCAGTGATCCTGCCGACCAAGGACGGGTCTGAGGAGCTATTTGGCGTTGCAGTTAGCCTAGCTGCTAGCTAGCAGCATATCAAGCTAGTGGGGTTATCTAGTTGAGGGCTTGTGGCGGTCTAGATCCCTGCTGTTTGTTGTTTTCCATCTTCCCTGTGACCTGTCCTGTCTGGAACTGCGAGGAGTGACAGCGTAACCTAAGTTGCTAGCTACCATGACAAAGACCAAAGCCGGCGGGAGTCCTGTTGAGGAGTCGTGTCTCTCTATCACACGTGAAGGATCTTTTAAACGAACAAAAATAGTTCTACAAGCAGTTGTTACAACAACAAGAAAATAGCTTCAAGTGCTTAGTCCAAATACTGGTGGATTCGACCAATAAAATACTGGACGACCTGACCAGAGAGGTCCAGTACCTGAAGAACAGCTTGCAGTTCTCCCAGGGTCAGCTCAATGAGTTGAAACAGGAGAACTGCAAGATGACAGCAATCTGTAAGTCATTGAGAGAGGACATCAGTTCTGTGTGTGAATCCATAATAACAATGACGGATGAATCAGACTATCTCGAGGGACAATCAAGGCGTAACAACATGGTTGTTGACGGAATTGCAGAATCTCCACATGAGACCTGGATGGAATCTGAGGACAAAGTGAGGAAAATGATCTATGAGAAATTGAAGATGGACCACAGGAAGATTGAGGTGGAGCGCCCCCACAGGACTGGAAAACCCAACACCGGCCCAGGTGACAGGCCCAGGCCGATAGTGGTCAAGTTCCTGAGGTTCAAGGACAAGGTAGCAGTTCTGGAAAGAGCCAAGAACTTGAGAGGAACGTATATCTTTCTCAACGAGGACTATCCTGAAGCTGTGCACCAGAAGAGGAAAGAACTTATCCCAGCCATGAAAGCTGCCAGAGCGCGTGGGGACATTGCTTACATCCGCTATGACAGGCTCATTGTCCACCCTCCCTCCCAGAGGCCTGGAAGGGATGAGAGAGCCAAGCCTATGGGTTCGTAGCTTCAACCCCGCAGCACACGCACACTCGTACACACACCAATTGATTAATTGACTGCTGAATGTATATATTTTTCTCTTGCTTTGTTTGCTCATTTCAGTATTATGTCTATCTCTGATAAGCTACCCAGGAAAGGGCTGAAAATAGCCCATATTAATATATGTAGCTTTAGAAATACGTTTCATGAAAATCTAAAACTTGCTAACATCAGATAACATTAATATATTAGCAATTTCTGAGACGCACTTAGATAATTCATTTGATGATACAGCAGTAGCAATACAAGGATATAACATCTACAGAAGAGACAGAAATGCTTATGGGGGAGGTGTTGCTGTATATATTCAGAGCCATATCCCTGTAATGCTTACAGAAGATCTTATGTCAAGTGTTATTGAAGTGTTGTGGTTGCAGGTTCACTTGCCACATCTAAAGCCTTTTCTTTTGGGGGGTTGCTATAGGCCACCAAGTGCTAATAGTCAGTATCTAAATAATATGTGTGAAATGCTTGATAGTGTATGTGATGTAAACAGAGAGATCTACTTTCTTGAGGACCTGAATATTGACTGGTGTTCATCAAGCTGTCCGCTCAAGAGGAAGCTTCTCACTGTAACCAGTGCCTGTAATCTGGTTCAGGTTATTAATCAACCTACCAGGGTGTTTACAAACACTACAGGAACAAGATCATCCACATGTATCAATCACATTTTTACTAAACTTTGTTCTGAAGCTGTATCCGTACCCATTGGATGCAGTGATCACAATTTAGTGGCTATATCCAGGAAAGCCAAAGTTCCAACAGCTGGGCCTAAAATAGTGTATAAGAGATCATACAAAAGATTTTGCTGTGACTCTTATGTGGATGATGTAAAACATATTTGTTGGTCTGATGTGATTAATAAGGAGCATCCAGACACTGCACTTGATGAATTTATAAAATTGTTTCTTCCAATTATTGACAAAAATGCACCTGTTATGAAACTGACTGTTTGTCACGCCCTGACATAGAGATCTCTAGTTGGTTTGGTCAGGGTGTGAATATCTATGTGTAGAGCTATGTTATCTATTTCTATGTTGGCCGGGTGTGGTTCCCAATCAGAGGCAGCTGTCGATCGTTGTCTCTGATTGGGGATCATACTTAGGCAGCCATGTTGCCCACCTTTAGTTGTGGGATCTTGTTTCTGGTTTGGCTTGTTTATGTGTAGCCCATTAGAACTTCACGTTACATTGTTGTTTTGTCGTGTGTTTACTTCTTAATTAAACATGTACGCATTCCACGCTGCACCTTGGTCCAATTCTTTACTCAACGACGAACGTGACAACTGTTAGAACTGTTAAGGCTCCATGGCTTGATGAGGAATTGAAAAACTGTATGGATGAAAGAGATGGGGAAAAAGGAGTGGCTAATAAGTCTGGCTGCACATCTGACTGGCTGACTTACTGCACATTGAGAAATTATGTGATTAAACTAAACAAAAAGAAGAAGAAACTGTATTATGAAGCCAAGATCAATGATATAAAGAATGATGGAAAAAAAACGTTGGAGTACTTTAAATGAAATTATGGGCAGAAAGACAAATTCAACTCCATCTTTCATCGAATCAGATGGTTTATTCATCACAAAACCATTTGATGTTACCAATTATTTGAATGATTACTTCATTGGCAAAGTGGGCAAATTTAGGCAGGAAATGCCAACAATTAACAGTGAGCCATCGTATTCATGCATAAAAAAAAACAAATAATTAAAGAAAAAGTTTTAATTTTGTAAAGTTAATGTGGGAGAGGTGGAAATATTATTGTTATCGATCAATAATGACAAACCTCCTGGCATTGACAACTTAGATAGAAAGCTACTGAGGATGGTAGCTGACTCTATAGCCACTCCTATCTGTCATATTAATGTGGTAGCGGAATTAATTTGGCAGATAGGAGTGGCTATAGAGTCAGCTACCATCCTCAGTAGCTTTCTATCTAAGTTGTCAATGCCAGCAGCCTTTACTGGTTCTAACAGCAGACCTATATGCTTGCTGCCAGCTCTTAGCAAACTGTTGGAAAAAATTGTGTTTGACCAAATACAATGCTATTTCTCTGTAAACAAATTAACAACAGACTTTCAACATGCTTATAGGGAAGGGCACTCGACATGTACTGCACTGACACAAATGACTGATGATTGGTTGAAAGAAATAGATAATAAGAAGATTGTGGGAGCTGTACTGTCAGATTTCAGTGCAGCCTTTGATATAATTGACCATAACCTGTTGTTGAAAAAACGTATGTGTTATGGCTTTCGATCTAATAGAACTCAAAGAATTCTCTAATGTCAAACATGTAAAGTGTGGTGTACCGCAGGGCAGCTCTCTAGGCCCTTTACTCTTTTCTATTTTTACCAATGACCTGCCACTGGCATTAATCAAAGCATGTGTGTCCATGTATGCTAATGATTCAACCATATACGCATCAGCAACCACAGCTAATGAAGTCACTGAAACCCTTAACAAAGAGTTGCAGTCTGTTTTGGAATGGCCACTATTAAACTGGTCCTGAACATCTCTAAAACTAAGAGCATTGTATTTGGTACAAATCATTCCCTAAGTTCTAGACCTCAGCTGAATCTGGTAATGAATGGTGTGGCTGTTGAACAAGCTGAGGAGACTAAATTACTTGCCGTTACCTTAGATTGTAAACTGTCATGGTTAAAACATATAGATTCAATGGTTGTAAAGATGGGAAGAGGTCTGTCCGTAATAAATAGATGCTCTGCTTTTTTGACACCACACTCCAAAAAGCAAGTTCTGCAGGCTCTAGGTTTGTCTAATCTTGATGATTGTCCAGTCGTGTGGTCCAGTGCTGCAAGGAAAGACCTAGTTAAGCTGCAGCTGGCCCAGAACAGAGTGGCACATCTAGCTCTTTATTGTAATCAGAGGGCAAATATAAATACTATGCATGCCAGTCTCTCTTGGCTAAGAGTTGAGGAGAGACTGACTGCATCACTTCTTATTTTTATAAGAAACATGAATGTGTTGGAAATCCCAAATTGTTTGCATAGTCAACTTACACACAGCTCTGACACACACACTTACCCCACCAGACATGCCACCAGGGGTCTTTTCACAGTCCCCAAATCCAGAACAAATTCAAGAAAGCATACAGTATTATATAGAGCCATTATTGCATGGAACTCATATTGCTCAAATAAACAGTAAACCTGGTTTCAGAAAACAGATAAAGCAACACCTCATGGCACAACGCCTCTCCCCTATTTGACCTAGATAGTTTGTGTGTATGTATTGATATTTAGGCTACGTGTGCCTTTAAAATTTTTTTTTATGTAGTTCTGTCCTTGAGCTGTTCTTGTCTATTAATGTTCTGTATTATGTCATGTTTCATGTTTTGTGTGGACCCCAGGAAGAGTAGCTGCTGCTTTTGCAACAGCTAATGGGGATCCTACTAAAATACCAAATTCCTCCTCCACCAAACTTTACAGTTTGCACTATGCATTGGGGCAGGTAGTGTTCTCCTGGCATCCACCAAAGCCATATTCATCCGTCGGACTGCCAGATGGTGAAGCGTGATTCATCACTCCAGAGAACGCGTTTCCACTGCTCCAGAGTCCAATGGTGGTGAGCTTTACACCACTCCAGCTGACGCTTGGCATTGCGCATGGTGATCTTAGACTGCTCGGCCGTGGAAACCCATTTCATGAAGCTCCCGACGAACAGTTCTTGTGCAGACGTTGCTTCCAGAGGCAGTTTGGAACTCGGTAGTGAGGGTTGCAAACCAAGGACAGACGATTTTTACGTGCTACGCACTTCAGCACTCGGCGGTCCCGTTCTGTGAGCTTTTGTGGCCCACCACTTCACGGCTGAGACGTTGTTGCTCCTATAAGTTTCCACTTCACAAGAACAGCACTTACAGTTGACCAGGGCAGCTCTAGCAGGGCAGAAATTTGACGGACTGACTTGTTGGAAAGGTGGCATCCTATGACGGTGCCATGTTGAAAGTAACTGAGCTCTTCGTGAAAGACTATTCTACTGCCAATGTTTGTCTATGGAGATTGCATGGCTGTGTGCTCGATTTTATACACCTGTCAGCAACGGGTGTGGCTGAAATAGCCGAATCTACTAATTTGAAGGGGTGTCCACATACTTTCGTATATACTGTATAGTGTATCCTGTTATTGTTAAGTGTGTTATTGCATTGAGAGAGTTGATGGAGGAATTTTAGAGTGGCAACTTATTCCCTATGCCCATCCAATCTCCATACACCTTAACCAAGACCACTTGGAATAGTTTAGAGAGTCTAACTGGGTCAGAATCTAGGAAGAATAGTTCTAATGGAGTATTTGGTCTCAAATTAATGTCAACTCGAGTAAACGAAAGCACATCCCACACCAGAGGGAAATGAGGTTAACAACTGAACTGAAACAGCACAGTTCAACCCCCCCTTTTGATAGCTACCTTTACTGAGTGTAACCTCCATAACGATGCGGTCCTTGGGGCCAGGCCTGGGCGGTCCCTTGCGGGCTTCGGGGGGTTCGTCGAAAGTGGAGGGTATGGGGGTACCCCCGACTGGCGTTGGAGTTCGGGGAGGAGGAGCGACTGAGGAGGGTGGGGGTGGGGCACGGAGTCAGGCTGGGGCTGCGGAGACGAGTCCTCACACTCAGGGTGACCACACCCTTCTTCAGTTGCTGCAGGGGGAACAAAGTAAAACACACGAGATACAGTGTTAGGACCACAACAACAACAACAACATACTGAGAGAGATACAGTGTTATGACCACAACAACAACAACAACATACTGAGAGAGACACAGTTTAGGACCCACAACAACAACAACAACACAACAACAACAACATACTGAGAGAGACACAGTGTAGGACCACAACAACAACAACAACATACTGAGAGAGACACAGTGTTAGGACCACAACAACAACAACAACAACAACTACTGAGAGAGACACAGTGTTAGGACCACAACAACAACAACAACATACTGAGAGATACACAGGGTTAGGACCACAACAACAACAACAACCATACTGAGAAGACACGTTGGAGACCACAACAACAACACACAACAACAACTGAGAGACACATGTTAGGCCACAACACAACAACAACATACTGGAGAGACACAGTGTTAGGACCACAACAACAACAACAACAACAACAACATACTGAGAGAGACACAGTGTTAGGACCACAACAACAACAACAACATACTGAGAGAGACACAGTGTTAGGACCACAACAACAACAACAACAACATACTGAGAGAGACACAGTGTTAGGACCACAACAACAAACAACATATGAGAGAACAATGTTAGGACCACACACAACCAACAACAACAACACATACTGAGAGAGACACAGTGTAGGTTACTACCAATAGAAACCAACTAATGAGAGACCTTTTTGAGGTAGAAACAATAACACTTGGAGGATGGAGTGTCACACCCTGGCACTGGGACACTATATTGACCAGGTGGTCATTTAGTGTTATTACTACTGGGGTCTATGTGGTCAGTTTCTAGGACCCAACAAAAAGCAACATACTGGAGCATGTTAACAAATCACAACAATACAACATACGATAACACAGTGTTAGGACACAACAACACAACAAATCTATAACACATGTTAGACCACAACACACAACAAACTGAGAGAGACGTGTTAGGAACAACAAAAACCATACTGAGAAACACAGTGTTAGGACCAACAACACAACACAACATCTGGAGAGATACAGTGTTATGACCACAACAACAACAACATACTGAGAGAGATACAGTGTTAGGACCACAACAACAACAACAACATACTGAGAGAGACACAGTGTTAGGACCACAACAACAACAACAACATACTAGAGAGACACATGTCAGGTTTGACTTACTCAATGATAGAAACCTACTAAGATGCACCATCTCTTTTTGAAGGGGTTAGAGAATAGATGATTGCACTTTGGATGGATGGATTTGTCACACCCTGGCTCTGGGACTCTATAGTTAGCCAGGGTGTGTTCATTCTATGTGGTTTTTTCTATGTGGGGGTTCTGGTTTGTTGTTTTCTATTTTGGCCTTAGTGACTCCCAATCAGAGGCACGAGTGTCAGCCTGTTCAAATCAAATCAATCAAATTTATTGTCACATGCGCCGAATACACGGTGCAGACATTACAGTGAATGCTTACTTACAAGCCTTAACCACAGTGCATTTATTTTAAACAAAAAAGTAAGAATAAAACAACCACAAAAAGTGTTTT